GAGTCACTTCCACACCGAGACGCGCCCGAGCGGGGCACGCAATGCCCGGTGGCGTCTACAAACACACAGAGGCTTCCACAACGATGAGAACGGTGCCTTCACATGCGTTGTATTTTCAAGCAGTTTGTGTGAATTTCTTAGGGCACCGATTAACTGAAAGATGCAGTTTCAATGGACATATGACCACTAAACCAACCGGGGATATTTTCCCTTTCCTGCAAGCATCTTTGTCAGTCTCGGAGATGGGGCACGAGAAGATCACAGTCCTTGATTGCTCTCTTTAACCCATTTATTGCTTTTGTTCCTCGCTCGCTAACATACGGCAACTTCAAACACAGGCAGCTGCTGTCCCTTTCCGTGGCAGGCTACCACGCAACGGAACCAAGTTCTATCTTTCCAGAAGCAGTGTGTGCAAAATCCTTCAGGCAATCTCTGCGTGTACAACGTATCTTCTAGGGCGACAGCAGCAGCGACGTACAAGCCCCGAGTGTGACCGCAGTGGTCGCTGCCATGTAGGGAGTGGGCACAGTTCACTGCCGTGGGAATCGTTCTCTCACACTCGCGCATACCAATCCAGCCAACACTGCGCCACACACGCGTACAGAACTAAAGCGGCATGCATACTGCAGCGTGAAGACCGCTCAGCACCATTGCCACGTTCATATGCAGCTCACCATAAACTCCCTCAATGACTTGAGGGATTATAATCTAAGACCGGTGGATTATACGCAAAGACGAGTGGATTATAATCAAAAACAGATGAGGGACATTCTGGCCACCAGCTGGATTCTCTGCCAGTCTGTGCGCAAGGAGGTTACGATGCCAGGCAAAGTGATCATCTGCTGTAATCTTCAGATTAGCACAAACCTATCAACAGTCATAATGAATTAAAACCCAAAGACCATTCTGAGATTCGTGCATTCAAACGCTCAATGCATTTTAGGTTAGTGCCAAGTGTTGGCATGGCACAAGAGAGCTTTAACTCTTGACAAAAACAAAGTCAAGAGATATTTGAGGTCTGCAAGGAAACCACGATGACATGAGGGCTTAATGCATCATACAAACACATAAATTATGAACTTTCAGCACATTATCATTAACCTCACGTATGTTTTAACCGGGAGGAATGTGCAGTGGAAACAGCGCGGTACAATGTGGACAGATATCGAACGTCGTCAAGCCTGGAGATATTCGGCGGGCAGATCTATCTTACAGAAAGAGAGGGAGTCGTTGATGAGCGGAGAGCTCTCGACACAAAAACCAGGCGCATTGCAAGCAAGCAGACCACCCAGGTGGCTCAGGTAGCAACAAAAAAACAGACGCATGCCACTATGTGTTATGCACGGCACACGGGAAGGACGGGGCCTGCAAACAGACTTAAAGTGGGGTTTCTATAAAGAAAATAACTCCACAGCCGCTTACTCTGAAGACAGCAAGTGTGCCTATGCAAGCAAGTCTCCATGGCACGGAGAGCAGCTCGGACTGGCAGAGCCACGGAAAGGCCCACTGAGCTGTATAGGTCTTTTTCAGAAGTGACCTGGCCACAAATGATAGATCAACGAAGTGGCTTGTCATATGAAAATTTATAGCAGCCAAATACTCTAAACGCACATAGATTCTAAATGTGGAGGGAAAAACTGGAGGACCTGGAGAAAAATCCACGTAACCACGAGGAACGCACTGAAACGCCAAATATACAGGCGTCAGGGGTCAGGATCCAACCCACGACCTCCTCCATAGCAGGCGCGGTAGTTAAAATCTCGCCACCGTGGACCTTGTCAAAAGAGTCCTGCTCAGCACAGTATGTGGCCACTACAACATTAGTCCATGGGCCAGAGTTGAAATTGGTACCACTCAAGGTAGCGAAATGCTAGTCCCATCGATATATTTACATGGTTAATGAGTGGATTAATTGATAACCCCACATTAAGAAATTGTAGCCGCTAAGGTGGTTCTAACAAATAAATTAGCTGGTCTCATGGTCCATATCGAGTACTATCCGAGATCCTGCATAGACACTCGCACAATTGTGTGCATAGTGCAGAGGTTAAGGAGCACATCTGAGACCGACACAATGCCACGTCTCGCACTGCGCTGTCATCAAAACAGAGAGCTTGAACATGATCAAGTCCCCTGTAACCGAATGACCTAGCCACGCATGAAAATACAGTATGTGTGTGTTTTAAGACATCAAGTAATTTGGCAGGGAAAGGACGGCTAGTGAACGAGCTTACTCGCTCGATGCGTGCACACGCCAGGCTCTGCGCTAGCTTCTCACGACTATACCGTCTCACGCTATGCCCTGTGGCAGTGTGCAGAAGTAAACTCGTGCTGCATATAAATAGAAGTTGTCTATATTAACGCCCGGTCATATCTGTCCACATTTTACTTGAGCTGCGCCGCGTGAAATCTGCGGGTGCCCTTTCTCTCAAGCCTGTGCTCAAGAGCACCTGAGCCAACAGCTGATGGATTATTCCCTCTTCTCCCACGCACAACGGACGCGATGGCATGACACACATCACCCCGATGCACACAGCCACACATCACCACGACGCACAACACACACAAAAACATCACCACGACGCACACAGCCACACATCACCACGACGCACAACACACACAAAAACATCACCACGACGCACACAGCCACAAACTACACGATGCACACAGGCACACAATATCACGACGCACACAGCCACACAATATCACGACGCACACAACACACACACGGACACACGAGTATGCAGTGTGACAAGCGCCCGAATACGCGCGCTACATTGCGACCACCAATACCAGAAACGATCGTCCGAACCGGTCCTGGGCCTCCCCTAGGTCGACTCGGCGTCAAAACAAAAGCACCCTGGTCCGGTGCGTAAACATCGCCACTGGGGGAGACAAAGGCGGCCGGGCGTGGTGCTGGCCACCCACCCCCTCGCGTGCCGTGCCGGCCTTTCATAGGTGCTGCTCGCTAATAGCACTTGCCCCTACAGTCTGTTACAGGCGATACGGGGACCCCCACAGAGCGACTCGCAGCCCAAGGTGTAGTCCACAGAGACACGGAGACACCGGGACAGAGACACTGGGGCACAGAGACACTGGGGCACAGAGACACGGAGACACAGAGACACTGGGGCACAGAGACACGGAGACACAGAGACACTGGGGCACAGAGACACGGAGACACAGAGACACTGGGGCACAGAGACACGGAGACACCGGGACAGAGACACGGAGACACCGGGACAGAGACACGGAGACACTGGGACAGACAGACACAGAGACACCGGCGAGGGGCAGCGACCCACACAGCTCCCCTATCTCTCCTGAAACTCTCTCCCCCCTCCCCCTTCTTCATCAAATCTCTTCCCACTCTTCATCCGACTCCGCCTCGCTCTCCTCCTTCACTTTCGTTCCTCTTTTCAGAGATTTTAAATTTATTTCGCTCGCTCCCCTCAAAATTCATACCCAGCTCCCATAGCCCCCTTCTCCCTCCCTGCCTCGCTCCCTCACCATGCCCCTCGCTCCCTCACCATGCCCCTCGCTCCCTCACCATACCCCTCGCTCCCTCACCATGCCCCTCTCTCACCATGCCCCTCTCTCACCATGCCCCTCTCTCACCATGCCCCTCTCTCACCATGCCCCTCTCTCACCATGCCCCTCTCTCACCATGCCCCTCTCTCACCATGCCCCTCTCTCACCATGCCCCTCTCTCACCATGCCCCTCGCTCCCTCACCATGCCCTCTCTCACCATGCTCTCCCTCACCATGCCCCTCGCTCTCTCACCATGCCCCTCGCTCCCTCCCTGTCTCGCTCCCTCACCATGCCCCTCGCTCCCTCACCATGCCCTTTCTCACCATGCCCCTCGCTCGCTCACCATGCCCTCCCTCACCATGCCCCTCGCTCCCTCCCTGTCTCGCTCCCTTACCATGCCCCTCGCTCCCTCACCATGCCCTCTCTCACCATGCCCCTCGCTCCCTCACCATGCCCTCTCTCACCATGCTCTCCCTCACCATGCCCCTCGCTCCCTCACCATGCCCCTCGCTCCCTCACCATGCCCCTCTCTCACCATGCCCCTCTCTCACCATGCCCCTCTCTCACCATGCCCCTCTCTCACCATGCCCCTCTCTCACCATGCCCCTCTCTCACCATGCCCCTCTCTCACCATGCCCCTCGCTCCCTCACCCTGCCCTCTCTCACCATGCTCTCCCTCACCATGCCCCTCGCTCTCTCACCATGCCCCTCGCTCCCTCCCTGTCTCGCTCCCTCACCATGCCCCTCGCTCCCTCACCATGCCCTGTCTCACCATGCCCCTCGCTCGCTCACCATGCCCTCCCTCACCATGCCCCTCGCTCCCTCCCTGTCTCGCTCCCTTACCATGCCCCTCGCTCCCTCACCATGCCCTCTCTCACCATGCCCCTCGCTCTCTCTCTCACCATGCCCCTCGCCCTCCCTCACCATGCCCCTCGCTCTCTCACCATGCCCCTCGCTCTCTCACCATGCCCCTCTCTCCCTCACCATGCCCTCTCTCACCATGCCCCTCGCTCGCTCCCTCACCATGCCCCTCGCTCCACCACCCCCCCGTGTCCCACTCAAAACACTCCACCGCCTCCTTCACTGTTCACTCGCTTCATTCCAACCTTCGTCCTGCCTCCTTCCCCCTGTAAACCCACCTCTCGTTCGCTCTCCCATTCCATCACTCCGTCTTACCATTTCCCCCTCTTTAATCCCTCACCGCACCATTTATAAACATTCCACTTCGTCTTTACGTCTCAAAGTCTCTTCCCCTCAGCTCCTCTGCTTCGTCACTCTCCCCGCGGCTCTCCGCCCGGAGTCTCTCCGCCCGGAGTCTCTTCTCGTCCCTCGCTAACCCCGAACCTTCACCATCAACTTCGCCGCTCCACCCGTCCATGCCAATTCCTCCCTCGCGGTCTCTCACCCCTCTCCCCAATCTCTCCTTCTCGTTCCCCGCGGCACTCGCGGGGACTCCACTCGTACTCACATGTTGTGGTGAGTAGAGCTGGGTGAGGAGCGGGCTGGGTAGCGAGGTGAGGTGAGGAGCGAGGTGAGGTGAGACGCGAGGTGAGTCGCTCCGCGCCGCGAGTCGCACCGCACAAAGACTTCACGAAACTTTCCCAGCGAGATCCCTGCGCGCGAAGCTCGCGCGGCGCAGCACCGCCCGTGCCGTGTCCCTCCGCCAGCGAGACCCTTCACACCCCCACCCACGCGTGCTCCCCCACCCTACACACACACACTACTACACACACACACTACTACACACACACACTACTACACACACACACTACTACACACACACTACTACACACACACTACTACACACACACCCTACTACACACACACACACTACTACACACACACACTACTACACACACACACTACTACACACACACACTACTACACACACACTACTACACACACACACTACTACACACACACTACTACACGCACACACTACTACACGCACACACTACTACACGCACACACTACTACACGCACACACTACTACACGCACACACTACTACACGCACACACTACTACACGCACACACTACTACACGCACACACTACTACACACACACACTACTACACACACTGCACACACACTCTACTACACACACACTACTACACACACACACACTACTACACACACACACTACTACACACACACACTACTACACACACACACTACTACACACACTACTACACACACACACTACTACACACACACTACTACACACACACACTACTACACACACTACTACACACACACACTACTACACACACACACTACTACACACACACACTACTACACACACACTACTACACACACACTACTACACACACACACACTACTACACACACACACTACTACACACACACACACTACTACACACACTACCACACACTACCACACACTACCACACACTACCACACACTACCACACACTACCACACACTAACACACACTACTACACACACACACACTCCTACACACACACACTACTACACACACACTCCTACACACACACCCTACTACACACTACTACTACTACACACTACTACTAACACTACTACTACTACACACTACTACTACTACACACTACTACTACTACACACTACTACTACTACACACTACTACTACTACACACTACTACTACTACACACTACTACTACTACACACTACTACTACTACACACTACTACTACTACACACTACTACTACACACTACTACTACTACACACTACTACTACTACTACACACTACTACTACTACACACTACTACTACTACTACACACTACTACTACTACACACTACTACTACTACACACTACTACTACTACACACTACTACTACTACACACTACTACTACTACACACTACTACTAACACTACTACTACTACACACTACTACTACTACACACTACTACTACTACACACTACTACTACTACACACTACTACTACTACACACTACTACTACTACACACTACTACTACTACACACTACTACTACTACTACACACTACTACTACTACTACACACTACTACTACTACACACACTACTACTACTACTACTCACAAAAAAGATCCCCCATATAGCCTTAACAGACTGTAGGGGTAAGTGCTGTTAGCGAGCATCTATGAAGGCCGGAATAGTACACGAGGGGGTGGGTGGCCAGCACCACGCCCGACCGCCTTTGTCTCCCTAGTGGCAATGTTTACACACCGCACCAGGTACTCATTTGAGGCTGAGTCAACCTAGGGGAGGCCCGGGACCGGTTCAGATAATCGTCACTGGTGTTGGCCGTGAGCGGGAATCGAACCCGGGTCGCCAGGTTCATAGCGCAGCGCGCTAACCGCTACACTATCGCTCCCCACACCCTACTACACACACACCCTACTACACACACACACTACTACACACACCCTACTACACACACACACACTACTACACACACCCTACCACACACACTACTACACACACTACTACACACACACACTACTACACACACACACACTACTACACACACACACTCTACTACACACACATACTACACACATACACTCACAGGATCTACACACCACTCACAGGATCTACATACCACTCACAGGATCTACACACCACTCACAGGATCTACACACCACTCACAGGATCTACATTCCACTCACAGGATCTACATACCACTCACATGATCTACACACCACTCACCGCATCTACACACCACTCACAGGATCTACATACCACTCACAGGATCTACATACCACTCACAGGATCTACATACCACTCACAGGATCTACATACCACTCACAGGATCTACATACCACTCACAGGATCTACATACAAATCACTGGATCTACATACCACTCACAGGATCTACACACCACTCACTGGATCTACATACCACTCACAGGATCTACACACCACTCACCGCATCTACATACCACTCACAGGATCTACATACCACTCACAGGATCTACACAAAACTCACAGGATCTACATACCACTCACAGGATCTACATACCACTCACAGGATCTACACACCACTCACTGGATCTACATACCACTCACAGGATCTACATACCACTCACATGATCTACATACCGCTCACAGGATCTATACACCACTCACAGGATCTACATACCACTCACTGGATCTACATACCACTCACAGGATCTACACGCCACTCATAGTATCTACATACCACTCAGGATCTACACACCACTCACAAGATCTACATACCACTCACAGGATCTACACACCACTCACAGGATCTACACACCACTCACAGGATCTACACACCACTCACAGGATCTACACACCACTCACTGGATCTACATACCACTCGCAGGATCTACACACCACTCACTGGATCTGCACACCACTCACTGGATCTACATACCACTCACAGGATCTACATACCACTCACAGGATCTACACACCACTCACCGCATCTACACACCACTCACAGGATCTACATACCACTCACAGGATCTACACACCACTCACAGGATCTACATTCCACTAACAGGATCTACATACCACTCACAGGATCTACATACCACTCACAGGATCTACACACCACTCACAGGATCTACACACCACTCACAGGATCTACACACCACTCACAGGATCTACATACCATTTTGTACGTTTGCCCACTGACAAATAAATGATCAGTCTATAATTTTAATGGTAGATTTATTTGAACAGTGAGAGAGAATAACAACAACAAAATCCAGAAAAACGCTTGTCAAAAATGTTTGCATTTTAATGAGGGAAATAAGTATTTGACCCCCTCTCAATCAGAAAGATTTCTGGCTCCCAGGTGTCTTGTATACAGGTAACGAGCTGAGATTAGGAGCACACTCTTAAAGGGAGTGCTCCTAATCTCAGCTTGTTACCTATATAAAAGACACCTGTCCACAGAAGCAATCAATCTGATTCCAAACTCTCCACCATGGCCAAGACCAAAGAGCTCTCCAAGGATGTCAGGGACAAGATTGTAGACCTACACAAGGCTGGAATGGGCTACAAGACCATTGCCAAGCAGCTTGGTGCGAAGGTGACAACAGTTGGTGCGATTATTCGCAAATGGAAGAAACACAAAAGAACTGTCAATCTCCCTCGGCCTGGGGCTCCATGCAAGATCTCACCTCGTGGAGTTGAAAAGGTGAGGAATCAGCCCAGAACTACACGGGAGGATCTTGTCAATGATCTCAAGGCAGCTGGGACCATAGTCACCAAGAAAACAATTGGTAACACACTACGCCGTTAATGACTGAAATCCTGCAGCGCCCGCAAGGTCCCCCTGCTCAAGAAAGCACATATACATGCCCGTCTGAAGTTTGCCAATGAACATCTGAATGATTCAGAGGGCAACTGGGTGAAAGTGTTGTGGTCAGATGAGACCAAAATGGAGCTCTTTGGCATCAACTCAACTCGCCGTGTTTGGAGGAGGAGGAGGAATGCTGCCTATGACCCCAAGAACACCATCCCCACCGTCAAACATGGAGGTGGAAACATTATTATGCTTTGGGGGTGTTTTTCTGCTAAGGGGACAGGACAACTTCACCGCATCAAAGGGACGATGGATGGGGCCATGTACCGTCAAATCTTGGGTGAGAACCTCCTTCCCTCAGCCAGGGAATTGAAAATGGGTCGTGGATGGGTATTCCAGCATGGCAATGACCCAAAACACACGGCCAAGGCAACAAAAGAGTGGCTCAAGAAGAAGCACATTAAGGTCCTGGAGTGGCCTAGCCAGTCTCCAGACCTTAATCCCATAGAAAACCTGTGGAGGGAGCTGAAGGTTCGAGTTGCCAAACGTCAGCCTCGAAACCTTAATGACTTGGAGAAGATCTGCAAAGAGGAGTTGGACAAATTCCGTCCTGAGATGTGTGCAAACCTGGTGGCCAACTACAAGAAACGTCTGACCTCTGTGATTGCCAACAAGGGTTTTGCCACCAAGTACTAAGTCATGTTTTGCAGAGGGGTCAAATATTTATTTCCCTCATTAATATGCAAATCAATTTATAACATTTCTGACATGCGTTTTTCTGGATTTTTTTGTTGTTATTCTGTCTCTCACTGTTCAAATAAACATGCCATTAAAATTATAGACTGATCATTTATTTTTCAGTGGGCAAACGTACAAAATCAGCAGGGGATCAACTACTTGTTTCCCTCACTGTAAATCTGAACGAATAATGATTACACAACTGCCCCGTCACTCATGGGGGAGTCGAGGGGGTGGAGTGTTTGATGAAACACCAGCACACACATTCACACAGCTGGAACCAGACACACGCCTTTACACACACACGCACGCATCACACACCACGCATTCAACCGCGGTACTGTTTGCGACAACATCTGTTGAGCCAATTAAGGAGGTGTTGCTTGAAGGCACGTCCGGCCGTCCCTGTCTACCCAGAGCCGCAGAGCTGATGGCGTCACACCACACGATAGGTACACGTGCCAGGCCGAGTCTGTTAGACATGGGTGTCGATATTCCTCGCCACCGACATCAGCCGTAGCCGGGAATCGAACTCGGGGTGATCGTGCGTGTGGACATTTGTCGGAGTTGAGCCCCACGCAGCTCCGGA